CCCCCCCCCCCCCCCCAATCATTTCAAAGCACCAGCTTTTGGTTTTGTTGATCCTTGCTTTTGGATTCATGAATTTATGTTTTTTCTGTGGGTTTATTCTGGGTCTTTCCCCCTCCAATTGGACAATTAAGTGTATTAATTTTCAGTCATCTCTCTTTTCTGATATATGCACGTAAAGCTGTTCCCTTTAAGTCTTACTTGAACTACCTTCTACAATTTCTGATATGTACTTTTTTGTTTTGTGAAGTCAGGTTTGTCGAGGTTTAATTTATATATTTGTATATATTTTATAAAATTTGTTCCGTTTAAGTGTAAGGTTCAATACCACCATAATCAAAATATAGAATGTTTCCATCATCCCCAAGAGCTCCCTCATACCTTGTTTTTGTCCCTATAGTTTTGTCTTTTCCACAAAGCCACGGGCATGGAGTCATACAGTTTACAGTCCTTTGTGTCTGGCTGCTTCCGTTTGGCACGCTGTTTTGAGATTCCTGCATATTGTTCCATGTATCTGCAGTTGTTCCTTCTTTTTGCTGAGTAGTTTCAATTTTCTGTCTATGCCACAATTTATTTATCTTTTCACCATTAATATAGTTTTCAGTGGGATCAAATGAGTGCATTTTAATTTTGCACTTGGCCTGCAAATAAACATACCAGAGTATTCTGGATTTGAAATTGTTTGGTTTTTTTTTTTATATCTAAGGTTTTATTTGGGGTGTGCATTTTGGAAGTTTTTCCGTTAGTGGGCAAACAAGTTCTCCTGTGTACTCACTGTGTTCTTTCTCCCTGTAGTAGTCTGGGTCCAGTCTGGAGATAGAAACCACACAGTAGGTTAAACAGAAGTTTAACACAAGGAATTATTAACTGTGAGAAAAGAGTAATAACTAAGATAGAGGGAAACTATGGTTCCATAGGACTGCGGGGCATACCCAATGAAGGACAAACTACCGGGGGTTCAGAACTCAGTGGAGAAGGTCGGGTTTAGCCCATGGCATAGCAGAGGAGTTCACTGATTTGGCTAAACCAGATGTGGCCCAAAGGCTCTGGGCAAGCCATAGGCTACCCTCGGAGTGCCGGCGAGAAGCAGGCAATCAGCAGCCAGAGACATGGGAGTACACTGGGAGTCTGGGCAAGCTATGTGGGAGCTCTGGTGTCCATGTTGACAGGGCTGCCAGACTTTGAAGAAGTGCGGAAAGGGATTCTGTTGTTTATCATAGAGAATATATAGAAAGGTGCATTTGGAGCAAAGAGATAATAAATTAATGACTAATATACTCTCTCTGTTCTTAATATTTTTATTTATTAACATAATTTTCTTTTCTTTTTTCTCCCCTCTCCCTGTCATTGTAGATTCCAAGCCGTCTTATCAGACCCCAGATTGGAGTTAGTTTCTTTCTTCATGATGTTAGTTCTTTATAGAAAATAATTAGGATACAAATTTTAAAGAACAGTCTTATATCAGAGAAGCTAAGCATTTTAACTCTGAGCTTAGATGAGCCTACTGCTAGGAAGATGATGATCATCCTTTCTGAACCAAAAAACTAGGTAATGGTTCTTACAGAGAATTTTTTCTGGTGTGAATTTATACACATTTGAAGAGTATTACCATGTCATAAATTAAATCACATTTGTTATTCATACCAATTAAACATTTGTTGAAAAGAATAAAGGACTGTCCCAAAGTATCAGGGGCATATACATATTAATACTTTTGCAGAATAGGAATACACTCATCTTTTTTAGACAGTCTTAAATCAGAAAAATAAAAAAAAGACAAAAATCCCTATTAGGCAGTTGTGTGTTTCTGGCAGAATAAAAAATCTCGCTCCTCTCGCTCCTCTCTCTCTCTCTCTCTCTCTCTCTCTCTCTCTCTCTCTCACACACACACACACACACACACACACACACACACACACACACACCACACCACCCTATCTAGACCTGATTTCTGTTTTTGACAGGGCTTGATAGCCATTGCAGAAAAATTCTGACATGTCTTGCTGATAGAACTTATCTGCTTCTTTTGCAGAATTCTTTTTTCTCAAAGGCTATTGAGGGGATATTTCTGTGGGGAGTGTTTAGTTGATAAATCCTTCATTGCATGAGTGTTCCCAGCAGTAGGGCTTATTTACAGAGGTTTTTATATACTCTCCAGAGATTGAGTGCTTACAAGTTTTCCCAGTTTAAGCAAGTCCAAATTGTAAAAATTTAGGCCTGCAAAATAGCTTACTCAGAGAATTTTATTTGCATTCTTAACTAGTTTTCTGTAAGCAGTTTGTCCTTTTAGTGTATTTAAATTGGATCCTATTTAGTCAGAATCTACCTTTTAAGACTCCCTCTATTAAGTAAAGTGGGATCAGTTTGTATTGTAGCTTTCAGATTTGCTTGGGATTCTTTGGGTTTCTTCTGTTTGGCAAGATGAGAGGGAAAAGCCTGGCCCTTTTGTTATCTTGGAAATTTCCAGCCAGAGAAAGTACAGAGACACCACTTGCAGGGATTCTTATGTGATCAGCTAGCTCCTTTCCTGAATTATTAAGCTGTGTTAAAACAGCAGCTCGGTACGGTTGCTGTTTAGGTATTCCAACTTCTGAAAGATTAATAGCACTGCAAGAATGCTGATACTTTTGACATCACTCTTCAATCCTTTCAAAAATCAGGAACA